GAGCTTGAAGATAGGACGCGCCATAAAATGGAGTAGCTGATATTACTGTTCTTGAGAGTCCAGATGTATTTGCTGAGTTCAGTCGAGTTTTTATGTTTTTATRTTCAGTCTCGCCCAMATACAAAAGATTACACCGGGTACATTTAATACAATATACAGCATTAGAAGKGGTACAAACAAAATGGTCAGTGATTTTAAYAGCGGATTTAGGACCGACAACAGAAGTGTGAGAGGCTATGTGAGGACAAGTATAACAACGTTTACGAGTACAGCGAAAAGTGCCAGGTTCTTTGTTAGAGGGAAGAACTCYCTTGACCAAGAAAGAACGAAGATTACGATCACGTTTATAAGAAAAAAGAGGGCGGTTGTTGAAAATAGCAGAAGTGCGAGTATCAGAGTCAAGCAGAGAAAAGTTGCGGTTAACAATGGGTTTAATGGAATTGTTAATAGGATGATACGTAAGAGTGAAAGGAATGCGATCATTAGAGGGACGAGTGTGGGGAGTGAGAGCGGTAGTACGATCAATAGTAGAAACTTTGCGAATGGCGCGATCAATAACAAGAGCAGGATAATTACGCTTAAGGAAGAAGGAACGCATCTCAGAACATTTAACAGAAAAATCAAGATCATCACTACTAATAATAATGGTAGTAAATGAGCAATTAAAAAATGGGGGTAACTGGCTTCATTTAGCTAAATAGGTTGCGTGGAATTTTACCCTTTTTACTGTAAAAACGTGCGAATAACGCAAACATAGAAAGGTGTCAAACAGAAGCCATATTTTACTAAAAAATAAATAGGTCCCTATTTTTTTTATAGATCTGTACTCTAAAATTCACGAAACAGGCTTGTCGTGCTTGTTGTTTCTTCTCAAACATATATATATATATATATTTAAATCTGATGATGGGATCCATTTTGCCCAAGACATTTCTAAATCATACAACACGAACCCTSAAACACATTTTCCACTTTATGTTCATTATTTATTGAAAATGTCCTAAYAAACTGCTTAACTTGCTCTGGCTTCATGAAATTTTCCTTGTAAAGTGTGTACGTAAWTGTTACTAACCTGTACAATGCGGGTTATGTTGTGCAGTAAAACAGAAGATTCCATCATTCTTTCAGTATTGGCAGATGGCATATGTACAGAACTGGCAGATACAAGAGGACCAGACCCAAGCTGTGAGCGTTCAAACTACAACAAAAGATCGCACCGTGAACAGAATATCAAATGGAATTAATCAAATGATAATCTATTTCGTAAATAGCTAGCACGTTTTTTGTATTCTAAAGTTAACTGTATTGTTATCTACTTGTAAGTTCCTAAAATGTGTCCTGAAAACATCTCTAGAACTATTTTAGTCCTGATGTGCAGGAAGAGATCTAAAAAATACTGTGGGTAAGCAAAAAGCAAAAATTTAAAGAAAATTSATGGCGAAAAGCCAATATTTTATGGGTGTAAAAACTTAATATTTGAGATCAACCTTGTGGAGAAGTTCGTCAACTTTTTCAGCAACTTTTCCAATGGCCATACGGACTTCACTTTGCTGTTGGCGTGTCTCTGCCATAAGAACAGGGACCATAGCATCATTTGCACTTGGCTGTGGTACTGAAGGAGGCGGAGGTTGTGGTTGAGGCTGCGGAAAGGCCTGTGCAGGAAATGGTGTCTGTTGGTAATACTGGGGTGGTGGTACCATGGAATAATTCATGGGCATCCCTTGAGGGTTCTGAATCACAAACAAATTATTGGTTTCTATTTKACTAAGTCTTCACTGATAGGTGCTTCAGGGATATGAGGATATTCATAATATCAGTTTGTTTTTACTGTACATTATTTGYCAAATCTATGTGCACCTACGTACTAAGAATAGTCTTATTTTRTGTAACACCATGCTGAATGTATGTTGTAGCTAACTCACAGGCAATAAAGATTAGGGACCTTAAGCTACAGGACGGCAACGACGACGACGACGGCAAATATACAATAGCACTAATTGMGCTATTCAATAGATACTCGTTGRAATGYACGAAATACTGTGCACCATTACCGTSTTATGCCGAAAGTAAGACGTGAAATGTCCTATTTTTACGTACTAAAGAGAACGGCTACGCCAAAAGCTTATATTTGCTGATTTTCKTTATAAGTAAAGCGCTCCCAAAAGACGACATTTCACTCTAAAACGGGGGTGCTTATCGAGTAAAATACTAGATAAACACGAAATAATAATACAATAGAAGGTTGAAGCGCCTCAATTTCGCCGACGTTGTCGCCCACGTTGCCGTCCTGCAGCTTAAGGTCCCTATTGTTAGTAGGATGGGAGAGGTGATGCATTTAAAGTAAAACCAATGCCTTTCACAACTGTAAGGTCAGGCAAGTTGCTGGTATAAATGATAAATGTATAAATAAGTATGATGTGTTGTGCTAAGACTTTTCTTCCTCCGTAGAAATCAACATGCAAGTTCTTTATCAAAATAGTTAAAAATACAATCATTGAAAGTAGCATGTACATAATCTCATGCATATGGAAGGTAAGAGYTAAGGAATGTACCTGATATAATGCTAGTTGTTGAGCTTGGTTGGTGTATCCCTGTTGGCTGGTAATGGGATGAGCAGTCTGGCTCTGATGTACTTCAGGATGTGTTTGTACTGGTGTTGGCCTTTGTGGTATATGTGGTTTTGGACGAGGGTTTGGCCTTGGGCTGGATTCTTTTTGTGTTGGAGATGCAGGAGTCTCCTGTACTGCAGGTTCTCCATCTTCAGATACTGCTTCCTCCGTTACACTTGTTTCCTTAACCTTAAGAAAATATATTCAAAAACGCATGAATAATTAATGAGCCTTTGAACCAATTGGAGCGACCATACACATCACGTGCATGGACCTTTAAACCCCATAAAGTCCCCTCCATTAATACATGAGAATGCGACAATTGTTTATAAGAACTAGCCATATAAAGAATACTAATGAAGGGGACTTTACGAGCAGAAACGTGGTTTTAAACCTGATAAAACACTTCTGCTCATTTATTAAACAGTACTAAATAGACGACTTGCACTAACTGGTCAAGTGACCTTACCTCCCTTAAAACGAGCAGTTTTGTCAAATAAAAAAAAAAACAGAAATGGAAAGAGCAGCTCGGCATTAATAGGGAGGCAGAGTTTCAGCTCATAATAAGCGAAACATTAGATATACAGTAAATATKAATGTTTCATAAGGATTTGTATAGGAAAATGCGCTGGATGGCAAAAGCTTACCAGTCAACACTTCGCCCATACAAATCCTTGTAAAATATTTGATTTTATATTTAATGTTTTTTCTTCTATAGTYAACATTTCGAGCTGAAACTTCTCCCTCTCACTAAATTTGAGCTGCTCTTTTCATTTCTGGAGYTCATTTTGACTCTTTTGCTCATTTTAAGGGGATGGGGTCACATGAACCATTAGCGCAAGTTGTCTATTGACAGTAGAACAGTCATCATCTAAAAAAAATAACACTGTATAATAATATAACTATTTAGYAGCCTAAAGTAGGTAGTAACCTCTTCTTCATCCTGATTTTCAGCTGCAACAGCACCAGGAATTGTCAATACATTCTTGCCCATTTTTGACATGCGGGCCAAAAGTCTGGCTTTGTCTGAACCTTTACCTGGCGACTTCGAAAATAAATAGATAAAAGTTAATAAAGCTAGAAAATTAAACATGACTTTATCTAGCAAGGTTGATAATAGGATTTTCTCATGCATAATTAATCATTTGAATTCATATGCATTGAAGGGTTTTAAGGCAGCCAAATAAAAATAAGTTTGCTTACGCTTTGCTGGCGTTACAAGACTTTGTACACAGAGCCCAGCAAAGCGTAAGCGGTGCAGCCAGCCATAACAGCACGCGACAAGGAATAACACGGAAGTCAAGCGCGAATAATCAACAAGCAGCCGTGAGCAAAAATAGTTGTGAGCGTACTTATTTTTATTTGACTGCCTTAAAACCCTTCAATGCATATGAAATTTAAGGAGAATATTTGTAAAAGATACATCTTTCAGTGACTTCATTTAGAAAAAAATCGTTCCACGAATTTTTGGGTGCCGCTTTCATCGATATTTTCTGTCGCTTTTGACARTGAATGGGGTCATTTAGGTTCTATCAAAAAATCCATATTCATTGTWAGAAAGAAAGTCCAATTTGATTCATATTCAATAAGGACAGTGTCTATATCCGTACCTATATTCTAGCTACTAAAAATATTGAATCCACTAAATTAAAGTCCCGATTTTGAGGGCATAAACTTGACACGCTGGAAATAATAGTAAAAGTCCATGAAAATATTCATCGCGAAACATTTGGAAAACGCTCTCATACATTTTTTTCATATTGCAATATGTTGGGTGCCTTGATGAATACTATTGACTGGTACCAGTCACTTTGAAAGTTTAGGTCTAGTTTTCGAGAAAATAAGCGGTAAACGATTTCTATGATGTCACCATTACGTCATAACGAAAAGGCCGCTTTAAACTAATTTATTATTTTTGAAACCTTTAATCCTTTCCTGACATTGTGTGAAAAGCGCTTGCAGATCGAGCTATTCAAGACGAAGTTGTAGCCGTTTCAATGCGGCAAGATGTGCCAGACCAAAACTACCCACAACCTCCTTAATTTGTAATCTTGGCCATTTTGCTGTAATAACATTAACACTATTTACATCAACAATTAATGCATTAAAGCAATGACAGTAGTWATCAAGGGGTCTGTGGTTAAATGATATTTAAATGATGAAATGCTTAATTTCACAATCATAGCTTTAAACAATTAATAAAAGAAAAAATGACAAAAGACTGCCATGAAATTTTCCACTTTACGTTAGAAGTCAGATTTCTGTAAAATTCAAGTTTAAAATTACTATAGAAACGTTCTTTAGTTGTTCGATTCTTGTGGACATTGCCTCTTTAGTACAAGTTGAGTTTTAGACAGTATAGAGCTTTTAARTTTTGATGTATTTCCTGGTACAACTGCTCACAAAAACCACTAAATGAAAACAAAAGCAAAATTTTTTATCAATGATGTAACTTCCACCTGAAACAATATTAGACTCTGGACAAAAAAATATTATGTTTATAAGGACTTCTTTTTTGTTTTGTAAGACATTTTTAACATAACACTTAAAAACTCTATAGAACTTGAAWAGTAGTATAGGAGTGGATCTACAAACATAAGAATTAAGAGACTATGCTAAGCTAGAGAGAAAAAATAGTGAAGCTGTCTATTGTTTTCATTTCTTTGAAAATGAATGTGAAATAAACAGAATGGTACAGTATGGTACAGTATGGTACAGTATGGTATGGTATTAACTAAGATATAAGGTACGTTAGGGTAAACAATAATTAGTCAATACCTGAGACAGCTGTTCACTGAGAGATGCTGTTCTGCCTTTGATGCTACAATCAATGAAACGAATATTCCATTTTTATTAAATTTTTGTGATCTCACTCTAAGTAAAAGAGCTCCAGTCTAAGTTGAAGGTTCTTGTGTAAAGCTAAGCTTTAATCCTAGCTTTAAAAAATTCCAGGAAACTTTTCAACAAAATCATTCTCATTCCTATACAGACCTTGCAGATGATTCTGATCTATTCTTCTGCAATCCAGATGGCTCACTAGTTATGTTGGGTAGAGATACCATCTGGGTTGTATCCTTTGCCTCAAGAATAGTGACTGGAGACACTGTTCTAGAACTGCTCTTAGAGCCCCCACTGTCTCCACCATCTTTTGATTTTATCTATCAGTGATAAACAGAATAGAAAAAAATAAATCCCTAAATGTGTTTAATCAATATTTTCCAAAAAATCCTTGCTTTATATTCTTCAACTACCTCTYGATCGTTCTATACATTAAATTGTGGGCTGTACAGGTGCTTAAAGTGCAAACACTTTATCTGTGAATCATTACTTGATCCATTCTGCACTCAACATTGCAACTAAATTAATTRATGCAATGTTTCTATCTATTGTTTCATTAAGTGATATTTAGYGCTAACTTAATTAGTTATCTATTTTATTCTGTTTCATGGAGTCAGCAAATATTGTTTCAAAGAAAACATCAAAGAAATCTGTTGTGATTACATTCTAAAAATGTTTTCAAAAAATCTGTTTTAAATCAAATACGTCYGTTAGTCCCTTTTCCATAATGGTTTTCTGGCTCTTTCTTGGTGTTGCAGGGCGCCTGAGCCATGAAGACAATAAAACAATAGCTGAGAACAATGAGCTTGGAGTTATATCCTGCAACACAACAACCCTAACCCAAAATACAATACATATTGCAACACCAAGAAAGACCTGGTTTACTCCCCAACCTCTATTAGAGAAAATAGAAAACTTAWTATTATGTAGTGTAGGGAGGAAAACTGGAGAAAAATCATTGTGTCAAGGGATGAATCGAACAACATCAATACTACCTAATATATTATATTCGGATAACTTCAATAAATACAACACTGTTTTGTTAACTCACYCTAAGTACTTCAATTTCAAAAAGAAGTATTGCATTTGGTGGCACTTGTGCACTTCCCACACCCTACAAGAAATTAAATATACAATATCATATTATATC